GGAATACTTCTGTTACCTCTATCAGTCTTCAGTTTGGTCGCTTTCAGCTTGACTCTGTCACCACTCCTGCCAAAGATATCTGGGATTTTTTGAAAGAACGATACCAGACTACTGGTCTTGCTCATCAATATCAACTTCAGAGCCAACTTCATCGGATGCGCCAAGAATCTAGTCAGTCCATCAATGACTTCCTTTCTCAAATGTACTCCGTTTGGGACCAGCTTGCTCTTTCCGAACCAACTTGGCCTCACCCAGAAGATGCTGTTTTATTTACTGCTTATCGTAATCAGCAACGGTTGGTACACTAGAAATTTTGGGATGTTATAGTCTTATTGGCATTTTTCATGGGAGTTATTAGGAGTAAGCATGGTTCGGTTTAAAAGGACATCAGGAATTACATTCCTATTTACAGTCCATAAAATTTGGAACTAAACTAGACCGAACTAGTCTGACATGTTTTGGTTTGATTTGAAACCAGATATATATCAACCTGCCATCATCACAACCTGAACAATAAACCATTGTTGAAGCAACCATTATTAATAAAACAGATTAGTGAGACTGTCGAGCAACTGACGGTTATAGGATTAACTCAGATTAGGTCTAACATAGGTATGATATGATTACTTCAAGGTCTATCATAAGTAATGATTTTTATATACATATATAAACAATCTGGTTTAGTTCCAAACTGCAGGACTTGTTTTTTCAATTTTTTTTAGTGTTTGGGAAAGAAGGGTTGAGATAACAGCATCAACAGCATCTACAATAAGAGAAACAGTAAAATAAGCCATGTTCATATCAAGCTTATAAAAAAGGATTGAGATATGCATCTAGGTAACATATTCGAAGACTATTTCTTTATTAACGGATCATGTTACAATGAACTCCAAAAATTACAATCACAATGAGAATCAAGTACAACATATAATTAAATTAATACAAAGGGAACACCCAAAGTGTAAGAGAAACCTCAAAAAACAAATACAAGAGGAATAAAATGCAAACGCATTCACAAGCACTTGGAAGAAATAAGTTCAACAAGCCTTACTGTATAAGCTGAAGCTCTGCTTGTGGATACATTCTTTTTCATTGCCACCGACACCATTACCGTAATACAACCTCAAGCTCAGCTTCAAAGGATTGTTCCATCTTCAAGGAGTTGTAAAACCTGTCACTCAAAAGCAAATGGCAATGATGATTAGCAGTGTGACATTCTTCATCATTAAACCACAAGGACATTACGAATATTAGTTAGGATTAATCCAAAGTATTGGGACTACTAATTGGCACACAAGCTTAAATTTTGATTCTCTCAGTTACAAAATGTTGATAACAAAATAATCTATTCAATTGTTTTATTCGAAATGAGTAGAGGACCTAAATTCTGTCAAACTCTTCGCAATAATCTTGCTAAATGAATACTTGTTTAATTGGATGTGTCATCATCTTTTAAAAATAATATATCATGTCCCTCAACACCACACTGGTTTGGGTTTGACAAGGCTGTGAAACATGTTGAATTTTGCCTAAGCTTTATTTGGAATGTGAGTTGTTTTTTTGACTTTTTAATTATTTTAATTTGAGATTAAAAAATCTTTTTTTTTAATTTTTATGAGGGTGAAAATAAAAATATTATAATTTAAATTTAATATTTTATCTTATTAATTTTTTAAGGAAAATTTACCTATAAGTCTTAGTTTCTGAAAAGTTGAACCGTTTAGTCCTAAAAGTTTTTTTATGCTCTATTTAGTCCCATTTGCACATCAACCTAATGTTTGAAACATTAATCTGATGTTTGAAATCTAATGTTCGAAACACTAATCTGATGTTTGAAACATTGTAATGGGACCTTTCAGTCTATAAGAAAATTTTTAGGACTAAACAGTGTATAAGTTATTAATTTGGGATTTATTAGTGCATCCCCCATTATTTTTTTAATATACGTATGATAATAACTAGGAAAAATTACAAATCAGTGTAACTTCACAAAAATATTTACAAATTTATAAAAATATGTATAACTTTAATTATTAAAGTTGATAAAGTTTATCACTAAGGCTCTGTTTGTTTTAACCTAAAATATTTTTATCTGTCGTTTGGTTAAACAAAAATTAAGTAAAACAGTTTTTAAAGAAAATATTTTTGTTTTATTTTCCAAAAAATTAATTATTATTAAAAATTTTGTAGTTCAATTATTACAAAATTAATTCTCAATCACTACCTTTTCAACATATTTAGCATTTTTAAATAAATACTCAACTCACTAAAAAGTCATAAATGACACTTTATTGAATCAAAATTTCTTTTTTAGGCAATAAAATATTTTTGTTTCAAATATCAACCAAAAGTTGAAAACTAAAAATAAAAATATTTTTTTCTTTGTAAAATTTACAAAAAAAATATTTTACAAATAGAACCTAAATATTAGGGAGCTCCAATCGACAATTGTGCCGTTATTGAGCTTTAAAATCTTTTTCATTAAGGGTTAGCAAATATATATATATATATATAGGAAAATTACTATGTAATCCCATGTTGGAGATCTATTTCCCTTCTAATCCTACTATATTTTTAATAGACTAATAGGTTTATAGTTTTTTAAGTTTTGTACCCGAAAGTCCCGTTTTTTATTTTCTTATTTTTTAAAAGACTGTTTTACCCTTTGATTTGAGATATATATATATATGTGTGAAAAATCAAATATTCGCCTTTATGATCTCAATCTTTCTCCGTTATGCCAATCTCTTTGTGTTGCGAGGTCAATCTCGTTGTGCTGTGAGGTGGATCTGGTTGTGCGATCTGAATCTCTGTGTATAGGCGATCTCTACGTATGCTCTGTGTATGTGTGTGTGTGTGTGTGTGTGTGTGTGTGTGTGTGTGTGGTAAGGTGGATCCTCTCTCTCTCTCTCTCTCTCTGTCGATACATATATGTATATGTATATATAGATAAGAAAATTTACGTGATATCTGGTTTGTGTTTGGCAATGTTATAGTTCTTTATTTTGTGATAAACTTTGTTTGTTTGATACTTATTTTGTGATTTTTGTATGTAGTATAGTGTAATGATTTTGTTTGTTGTATAGTGTATTGTGTTTTGAAGTTGTAGTTTGGAATTGTGAATTGTGAAGTGTTGATACTGATGTGTTGTAACTGTATAACTTTGCAGTTTGGAATCTGTGAACAATTGTTTTCTGGTTTATGATTTTGTAGTATGGAGGGGTATTTCAGGTTAATGTGCAAATACAGTAATTCTTGTGCTGCTATTAAGATTAGTGAGGGATGTAGTTATCATGAAATTGTTGAGAAAATATCTGCGAAGTTCAAGGAGTTGAGTGTTAGTAACTTTTGTTTGTTTTTCTCTATTCCTAAGTATTCTAATTGTATTGTTGAATGTGATGATGATTTGGGGAATAAGGTGTTAATGGTAAGTTGTAGTGGTTCTCATGTTGTTGATGTTGTTGTGGGTGATAGGAGAATTGTGGAGGTTGATGATAATTCTTCTAGGATTGATTCTGTAATTTGTGAGAGTTCTTTGGTTAACGATTGTAATGATTTTGGTGGTTTGTTGCCTAGTTTTTATCCAGAACTAGAGAGAGTTTTTTTTTTTTTAGTTGGAAGAGGATTATACATAGTGTTGGTCAAGAATTTGAAGGTGGAGTGCCGGCGTTCCGCATTGCATTGGCTAAGTATGTAGTTGAGTGTGGTTTTGCAGTGAATTCTTTGAAGAACGATGCAACAAAAGTAACTGCTGAATGTATGATGAAGTTGTCTACGAGTCGTAAATGGTTTGTGCATGGAAAGGTGTTGATGAATTCCGGTATTTTTTTTATTATGAAGTTGGATAATGTGCATACTTGTGGGGTTGTTGCTCGTAGATCTTATAGCAAAATGGTTGGTTCTAGACTTGTATCTGATATTGTGCATAATGATATTAGTGATAATCCGTTGACTCGTCCTATTGAAGTTAAAAACAATTTGAAGAAGCAATATGGTATAGATGGGTTGATAAGACAAAATGTGGGTTGTTTGGTGATTTTGTAACTTCTTTTAACCAACTTCGATGGTACCTTGAGATGGGTATGACAATGAATCCTGGAAGTGTGTTTGAATTAGATGTGGATGAAAGTAGTGGGTGTTTTCGAAGGTTGTTTGTGGCATTTCATGGATGTTTGAATGGCTTTCAATTTTGTCATCCATTGTTGTTTGTTGATAGTACATTTTTGAAGGGGCGTTACAAGGGGCATTTGCTTGCAGCAACATCAAAGGATGGTAATCAAGGTATGTATTTATTTGCAGTTAGTATAGTTTTGGTTTGTCAGTGTGTTTTGGTAGTTGGTGGATTTTGGTTTCTGTTATTGTATTGTGAGTCTGCTAATTTTTACAGTTTCATGTTATTTTGTTTTCAGGCCTGTTTCCTTTGGCTTTTGCGATTGTTGACGCTGAAAATCAAGATAATTGGATGTGATTTTTAAGTAAGTTGTTAAAGGCTGTTGGTTCAGGCCAAAGATTGACCTTTGTGTCTGACTATCAACATGGATTGCTAGATGCTCTTTCAGTGGTTTTTCCCAATGCACATCATGCATATTGCTTGAACTATTTGAAGAGAAATTTGATTGACAAATTGGTGGGACTTCGTACTAACTATAAGCTGACTTTGATGAAAATATTAGTTAAATGTGCTTATGCGCCAACTGTTGCTTCTTTCCAACATTATATGGAGAAATTGAGGCGTATTAATGGGAATGGTAGAGTTAATAGTATGTTGGATGGTTTGCAAAATGATAAGTGGGCCAATGCATTTTTTAGAGGGAAACGATATGGTGAGATGTCATCTAATGCTGCCGAGTCTTACAATAATTGGATTGGTGGGGCCCGTTAGTTGCCTATTACTTATATGGTTGATATGATTAGGGTTCAAATCATGACTCAATTGTCTAATAGAAGAGCCAAATCTAAAAGATGAACTACCAAATTGTGTCCAGTTATGGAAAAGAAGTTGGTGGACTCTTTGAAGCTAACTAAGTCTTGGGATGTGATTGTTGCTAGTGATACTGTGCTTGAGGTTCATTCTTCTATTTCTTTTTATGTTGATATTGGTAGAAGGACTTGTTCTTGCCATGAATGGCAATTGAATGGTTTTCCTTGTTGTCATGTTGTGCATGCTTTGTGTAGTAGTGGTAGAGATATGTACGATTTCATTGATCATTTTTTTCATGTGGATTGTTTTAGAGAGACGTACAAGGAATCTTTTTATCTAGTGCCTTCAAGTGAGAGATTTGACTTTGATGGTGCCGGTAGTTCGATTATCAAACCTCCTATAACGAAGAAGCAGCCCGGACGGAACAAGAAGAAGATGATACCTTCTAAGGGTGAGAATGTGAAGCAAATCAAGTGTGAGAGGTGCTTGAAATATGGGAATTACAAGAAGAAGACGTGCAAGGCTGCTATTTGAGGCCATAGTCTATTATTTTGGATTTGTATTTGAAGTTGAGGAATTATGATAATAAAATGTGATGCTTGGTATTATGGAAGTAATGAATGAAGTTGGTTGCATTCTTTTTTCTTTTTTGATGTGTTCTTTAGTTATTGAAGTTGTTTTGTAACAGTTTTGTTTTGTTTTGTTTTGAAGATTTGGTTGGTTTTATTTTTGTGGAATGCTGAGAAGGTTGTTGAAAATTTCTTATTGAAACTGTATAATCTTGAAATGCAGTTTTACTACATGATATATTTATTTCATATTTCGTAGTGACAAAACTGTAAACTTTTACAGTTTTAGTTTCAATTTTGAAATGCAGTTCATCTATTTGTTGAGTCATGAAATTGGATGTATAATTATGTAGCATAATTTTTGTTTGAGTAATGAAACTGCATAATTTTTCAGTTTTAAGAATTATGAGAAACAACCTGATGAAAATGCATAATTTTGCAATTTTAAGAATTATTAAAAACAACCTGATGAAACTGCATATTTTTGCAGTTTGAAGAATTATTAGAAACAACATTTCCTGTATGAAAATATATGCAACCACAAATGTGATGACAATAATAAGCAGAAGAACACAAACAAGAATAATAAACATAAGAAGAAGAACAACAACAATAATAACAAGAAGAAAAGCAACAACAACATCAATGACAACAATCATTCTCACCATGATAACCACAAGAAGATCAATTCCCAAAAACATAAAATTAATTGTCACATGTAAAAAAAAAAAAAAAAAGTATAAAAATATGTTCACTTGAGTAGTTTGTTCATTATTTCTATGGTTTGGTATGTTTTGTCAACATTTGGTAATGCTTGAGTTTCCAAGATCGGTTTTTATCATTGAGGAATTGACTGATGATTTCTACTCGAAAGTTGACCCACTTAGTTGGTCAAAGTGATTTCTGCATAAGTTGCCAGTTGATATATTGGTTAATAACATTGTAGACAGCGATTGCACAATCATTCTTGCAAAATTTTAGATGAAGTTAATTAGTTAGGTAAAATTGCAAATTTAGTATATTGGAACATTAGTTATTGAGTTTGTATCTTACGAGTGTGGGGCTTGTTATGAGCATTCCTCAATTGATGCAATTATTGTCTCGCACTCTTGAGATGATAGCATGTTTCCTTGATTGCTAAATAATGCTTTATTACATCTCAGTTGATGTTGTTGCTACAAAATAGTTAGTAGGTATTTTTGTTAGTTATAGTGATGTGCTGAGATGTTTTAAAAGGAATGAAACTAAGTAGGAAATTTTATTTAACTTATAATTTCCTTTGCAATTTCAAAGTGCTTGTTGTGGCAATCTTTTGCTGGCCTCAAAGAGTCATAGTGCCTCCATATCCCATCAGCATTGTCAACGACCAGAATTGTCCAATGGTTGTCGTGGTTGATTGGGAAATGGATATATCTATTTTTCATTGCTTCTGGAAAATGTTTGTCCATCATTTTTTCTCTGAGTGCCTAATCTTGGTTTTGTAGTGGAGTCTGTAATTTATATATGTTTAAAATATGTTATAAAAGTATGTAGTAAGACATGTTAAGAAAGTAGAAAATTTTGTAGTTTGAATAATATTGAAAGGCATGTTAATAGTTTTGCTTACATTGATGAGTGTTGAGAAAATGTAAGATCTTCCCACGCATGGATTTCTTGCAAATGCTAGATCATGTTTCTCAAATTCTTCAATTGATGGTTGGAGTGCCAATTTCATTTTTGCGAAGGCTTTAATGACCTGAAACATGTTATATATGAGAATGTGTTAGGTTTGTGGAATAGGTTATTGAATATGAACAGAAACTGTAAAATTGTGCAATTGGAGACCTACATTCCTATATAAGGCTTCCATGTTCGTCAATCTGCATATATCTGAAAAGTATATGCAATTTTCATCTTTGCTGCCAGACCATACGCAAGCACTTGATTGTGTGTTGTTGATGAGTTGAATTTGGTCTTGGTCTTTTTTGGATAGGCTATGCCAAACCTTGTTTGTTTTGAGGCATGAAATGGCGAGTGGCTTGTTGTGGATTGATTCTTCTTCGAAATCATCATCACTTTACAATACTTGAACTTGTGTCTTCCCTTGATTGGCATCCTCTTTTGGCTTGGTTTCAGCAACACCTTCTTTCTCTTGGCTGATATCTTCTTTCATTTTTTGTTTCTGCTGTTGTTTTACTTCATGAGCACCCTCTTTTTGCTCGGGTTCAGTAGCAGGTTCTTTCTCTGTTTCGATTTCTTCTTTTTCTTTTCATTCTTTTCTCTTCTTTTTTTTTCATTGGTACCCTCTGTTGGTTTGGGTACAACAGCAACAGCTTCTGTCTTGTTCCTTGTATCTTTTTTAGCTTTTGTCATTGGTTAGTATTCAAAATCTAGCTTATGTGCTTGTTTTCTTGACTTTTGTTTGATTCTCTTGACCATTGATCTTTGTTGGGGACTTTCAGTTTTTTTGGCAAACATTTCCTTCAACTGGTCTTCTTTTTTATGCAATTCAGCCATGAATTTTTGTTCCATTTCTTGCATTTGTGCTCTCATGGCTGCTATGAGTTTGCCCTTGTCGTCCTCTTTGGTTGATGTTTGTGCTTGGTCATCACCTATAAAAAAGTTGGATTTTGTTTTGGTTAGTTTAATTAAATTTTGCAGTTTGGTTTAGTATTAGACAAGAGTTTACCTTGTGCACGAAATGTGTCAAATTTCTCTTGGAGTTCTTCTTGTGATTCTATCCTTTTTTCTTCTTGTTGATTTGCTTGTTCTTTTTTTTTTTTCTTCTTCATGTTGTTGTTACTGGTCTGTCAGTTCTTGTTCATTGACTTCTTGTTGTTGGTTTGTTTGTTCTTCTTCTTGTTCTTGTTGTTGGCCATCTTCTTCATCAGTGTCTTCTTGTTGATCACCTTCTTCTTCTTCTTCTTCTTCTTCTTCTTCTTCTTCATTGTCTTGTTGTTCATCGGCTTCTTCATCTTCTTCTTCTTCAATCTCTTGTTTTTTTTTCTTTATCACTCTCTTCTTCTTGTTCATCACTTTCTGCTTCTTCTTGTGGTTCTTGCTTTCTTTTCTTTCTTTTTTGTTGTTGTTCTTGTTCTTATTCTGATTGGTGTTCTTCTTCAAGAAAGTCATCCTCATCACTGCCTAGAAGTGTTTTTTTTTTTTTTCACTTATTATCCTTTTTGTGGTCATGTTTCTTCGCTGAAGAGTCTATTGATGTGCTTTAATTGATATGCAATAACTGTATTTCTTGTTCAGTTGGGGTTAAAACACTTTGGTCAACCTGCATTGGAACAATGTGGCATATATCAGTAATACTATAAAATTGGTCAGTTTCATAACATGATTTGTACTATGAGTTATGTGAGTTAAGTGTTGAAAATATGTTGTTTGAAACTACAAACTTTTACAGTTTCATAACATGATTGTTAGTGTAATGAATGTGAAAGGATTGTTGAATAGATTTGTGCGTTGAAACTGTAAACTTTTGCAATTTCATAACATGAGTGATAGGAGTGTTAAATAGGTGTGGGCTTTGAAACTGCAAATTTTTATAGTTTCATAATATGATTTGTACTATGAGTAATGTGAGCTAAGTGTTGAAAATATGTTGTTTAAAACTGAAAACTTTTACAGTTTCAAAACATGATTGTTACTATAATGACTGTGAAAGAAGTGTTGTATAGATTTGTGCTATGAGAGTATAGAAGAGTTTGAATACCTTTTCAAAGTCAACAAGGCTGATATGTTTCCACTTGGAGTACATTTTTCTAAGGTTCCACTTCATAAACCTTGGGAAGCCTTCTTTGTTGGATGGTCGGAGGAGTTTGTTGTGCTCACAATACCAGTACTGTAAAAAAAAATTGAAATATGTTAATAGTTCAAAATAGTTAGATGTTTGATATTTTTGTGTGAAGTAGTTGAGTAGTGTGTTTACCAAGAGTAACATGATGCATCCAGTGACATGTCTCGGGTTGTTGTTTGCATTTGCCATTGAATTCATCAGTGTGTCTTTTATTGCCTTAACCCAATTGTACTTCTTGATGTTGTTGAGATTGTCAACATAGTTAAGGAAACTCTAACTGAGTGTATGGCTTGTTGTAGGCATGAGAAGTTTCAGGAACAAGTAAAGGGTGATGACCCTTGCAAGATCTTGACGATCATTGGTTAATTTTCCTTTTTTTGTTTATTAAAACATTTTGGTCAATCACTTGCCATCCAATCTCTTTGCTAATTTGCATCTTCATTTGTAAAATGCGAGCTCAAAATCCTTTGGTCTTGCATAGGATTTGGAGGTGGTGTTGTCTTCTCCACAGTCGATACCAAAAATGAGTCTCACATCACTGTTTTTGAGTTTCATTTCGTTTTTACCAAGTATAAATGCTCTTTTTCTTTTGTTGTAGAGTGTTGTCATTTCTGCTACAATGGAATTGTAGCATCTATACCAAGAGGCCTTCAATTGTGTTGAGGAGAGAGCACTTATAATGGGACAAAAAAGGGTTTTTTGCAGCTCTATCTTTTGGGCTATTATGAATTTGACCTCCTTCAACAGTTTGATTACTGTTTTGACGTTGGAACAATAATTAAACTTTTTGACTCTCCTTGCAGGGACTGCTCCTTTTTCCTTTTTAATGGCTTGGTTTTTGTTTCGGGAGTTGATTGGCTTTCTTGGAGCTTTCTTTTTTTTTTGTTGGAGGAGCTTCTTGTTTTTTTGTTGGCTTTCTTTCTTTTCTTTTTTTTTTGTGTGTGTGTGTGTGGTTAGAGGTGTAGTCGATGTTTGTTGTGTGGTTGTGGTCTGTGGTGTAGTTCTTGGGCTTTTTCTTGTAGGTAATGTGGTTGTTTTATGGGGTTTTTTTTTTTGTTGTTTTTGGTTATGGTGGTTGGGTTTTTTGTGGAGGGGGAGATGTTGGTAGCATTTCAGTGAATACAGCTGAAGGACTGTCAAAAGAGGAGACACTTAAATCCCTAATTGGATTTTTGGGCATA